ATATATATATATATACACACACATAAATAAAATCACAACCCAGCAAATCATCATACGATCCTGAAATGAATGGCTTATAAAACTTTGGATTAACTAACAGAGCCAAAAGGACTCAAAATATTACTCAGTGTATATTTGAGCTGCTTACCTAAAACAGTGTCATTTAAAATTATGAAAATCTCAAAGAAATGTCAAAATTTTTATTAGGTATGGAAACTTGGTGAAATCTGGTTCTTTATAGCTATCTATTAGACATAAGAACTGAAGCGCACTTCAGTTTAAGGGGAAGCTAAAAGTTTGTCTCTGAGTGAATTAGCTTTGGTTTACAGTACCCATACAGCATATTCTAAATGAAGGATTATTTACTCAGAAATATTCCACTGTTACTCTTAATAATCCTAGTAAATAAAAGGTGGTCATCTTACTACTAATATGAAAACACTTTATGAACAACCCAAAACACAATTCAAAGGCATCTGGGAAGAAAAAGAAAGATAAGTGTTAACACACTGCTGCACACTTTTAATTGACGACCGCGCTTAGACATTTTTTTACCATCATTTGTGGCAACGTGTTTAAACAAGTTCCTGACTCTACAAAATCAATTTGGAAATTCATAATGTAATTTAAAAAGGGGAAAGAAAAGAAAGGTAAACTCTGACAATATAGTTGTTATTTTTATAGTACTAGAAAAAATATTGCTTTGGCATGCTTATATTGAGGAAAACAATATAAAAAACCCTGAAAGCTGGAATGTTTGTATCCAGTATCAATAGATACTAGAGCAATATAGTTAATACGTATATATATATGTATATATATAATAGTTAATATATAATTAATACCTAATACATAGTTAATATAGTTATATGCAATATAGTTAATATTATAATATATAGTACTAATATAGGGAAAATAGTCAATAGTTAATAGCAAAGAGGTGTAACCAGTCTACATATTAATAAATGAGTGAATAAACAGAATTTAGTACATACATACAAGAGAGTATTACTTAGGCATAAAGAGAAATAAAATTCTGATCCATGTCACAACAGAGGACAAGTCCTTTGTAATCTAACTTTGTTGTTGTTATGTGCAGTCGAGTCGCTTGCGACTCAGTGACCCTACTCTAACTTATAAAAAAGAAATAAATACATAGAAACCAAAGATTATTAGTGGTTATCAAGAGTGAAAGAAGTCAAAGGAGGAGCTTTTGTTCTGGGGACTTTTGAGTTTATCAGTGGTGAAATGATTTGGAAAAGGAAAATGGAAAGGCTACACAACTCAAAGAATGAATACCAAGGAATTTTATATCCAGAAATAACAAATTGATGTGTTTTATTTATGCATTTTCAGTGTAATAAAAATATTATATATGAAAAGTGTGTATATAACATTCATCAAATGGAATAGGGGCAAAGTATCATTTCTAAATTTAAATTGGTTTTCATTCATTCAATCATATATATTTCATAACAATAATTAGCATTAGCACCATTATTTTCAACAACATAACGAACTGCATGCACTGTATTATCTTTTTCCATTACGCACTCATTGACTAATCTCTCTCTCATCCCTGCCTGGGTAAACCTTCCTTTATTCTCTTTTTAGATTTCCCTGTCCTTCTCCCCATTGTATTATGTATGCATTTCCTGTACCAAACTGCTTTTGAAATACATAATCTGTTCCTCCATTTGTTTAAGGATGACTTTCCTTTTGCCCAATCCATTAGTGTTCACTCTTCGTTCATTTTATTTCTGCTCTCCCTGACGCTTCCCCCATCCTATATTTATAACAGACGTCTTAGATAGTATTTGTCCTTTTGGGATAAACACTGTAAGACATTTATTACAAAGTATTTGTCCTTCTGATTATAAAGTATTTGTCCTTTGGTGAGATATTTTACTCAGCACAATGTCCTCAAGATGTATCCATGCTGAATGGTAGGTATCTCATGAGTGCTTCACTGTTTGTTTTTTAATGTTACAAAGCTGCAATAAGCATAGGTATACATATTTGGTTTTGCTTCAGCTCTGATTTCTTTAGGGAATATTCCCATTAGTGGAATAGCTGGATCAAATGGGATTTCAATTTTTTTTGGGGGGTGAGGGGGGAATCCTTGAAGAGATTTCTACGTTTGAAAGAGTTTGTCTTTAATTTAAATATGGCTTTTCTGGCATGGATGACCATGTGAATGGGGTGTGTTGGCTTATCCACAAAAGAAACAGCTATCTACCATTCCAAAAACCAATTAGGCAATCTCAACAATCTACAAGATTACAATCTACCATCTCGCCAATAAATTGAACAGCTCTAGTCAGAAGAATTGGAATCCTTCCCAGACAGAGAAAACTGACTTTCTTCACCCTGGCAAAGAAATGGTAGGAAAATATAGGGCACACTTCAGGACTACAACAGCAGCCACAGCTAAACTGAGGAACTGATTATGAGATGGGACTCGGGGTTGAGGAGTCAATACTAACAGGACTTAGAACCGTGCTGGACAATTGGGTGGAGAGTTAGTATTGGCAGAACAGAGAACTTGGAACACTTAAGAGTCATGAGGGTAAGGTGGCTTATGTGCACAATTTAGGAGTTGTCTTGACTATATATATTGATATTAATCTAAATTATAACCTTTTGACTTCCCAAGTATGGTTCTGTGTGGTCTGTGAGCTAAAACATCAAATTTTGGACCCAGCAAAGCAGTAGGATTGGTGCTGAGATGAGTAGGAAGAGGTATGGAAGGATGGGGGCATTATCTGACCTCATGGGTACTGGTTTTGTATTACTGATGCTATGGGTGGGGATATTTCTCCCCTGAAATTGGCCAAGGTCAGAAATAAAAGTCACCCTCCCCATGTGGCCCTTGCTTATTTTACAGTGCAGCAGTATCATTACATGTATCTACACAGGTGGCATATGCCTTTCTTTAGACAATCATTTTCCTATTCTACACATACTCCTAGTCTTAGGCAATCGTGCATATTCATATTTACAACATTCTGGTCCTGAAATTATTTCTATTTTTTATTTTATATTGGTTTATAAAAAAATTAATAACCCTGTGTTTCATTAAGTACACTGTTTCACACATTCCTTCACTCACATTGTGTTTCAAATAATCATTCATATACACTGCATTACTTACTGATCTATGCCTACTATTATCCTACCCTTTTAGGTCTCCAACTTTCCTAATTCCTTCATGCCTTCTGAGTGGCTGAATGTAATTCCATTGGTCTGTGTCTTTCCCTGTACCATACCATGCCGTTTTTATTACTAAGGATGCATAGTAGATATTGAGATAAGGGAATGGGATCCTTCGTACTTTTTTTCAATTGAGCTTTATTTATTTGTTTAAACTTGGAAATTATCTTTTGTATCTCCTTGGAATGCCAACAATAAGCTGTATTGGGACTGCACTGAACCTAGAGATTGTTTTTTCCTAAGACTGCTTTTGACAGGACTGTAATTTTCACAATACAATCAATGAACATGGATGGTATGTATGTTGTTGTGTGCTGTCAAGTTGATTCCCGTTCATAGTGACCCTATGTACAATAGCTCTAAACCTTGCTCTACTTTGAGACAATTTCCTTGCCTGTGACACACCTATCCCCATTACCCTAGTCACTGGAGTTAATCCATCTCATCTCATGGACTGTCTGTCCTGAAGAGGGTACAATCAGGCTCCTCCTTGGAGACAAGGATTTTGAAGCTCCATCTGACATACTTTGGGCATGCTGGAAAGAGGGAACAGTCCTTGGAGAGGGACATCATGCTTGAAAGGGCAGAGGGAAACCGCAAGAGAGGAAAGCCCTGGATGAGAACATGGTATATTCTTCCATTTATATAGATCCCTTTTTGTTTCTTATAATGTTTTAGCATATTCTTTACCTGGGTCTTTTGGGACTCTGCTGTTTTTGTTGTGTGCTGTCAAGTCAGAACTGACTTGACTGGCAGTTGACCCTCCATGACATTTTCAGAGGCAGTAAAATGCACAGGAGATAATTAGTTAGGTTTATTCCTAAGTATTTCACATTGAGGTCGTGATTGGTATTGCTTTTATTTCATTTTATTTCCTTTTCAGTGTTTTCTTAATGTAGAGAAACTCAACTTTTTGTTGTTGATCTTTTACCTTGTAACTGCCAAATTGGTATTACCACAACTTACAGTTTTCTATGAACATTACCCTATCATCTATATACAGGGATAGTTTTACCTCCTCTTTTGTCAATTTGGATATGCCTTATTTCCTTCTCTTGTATTAAACACAAGTGGTGAAAAAAAAAACAAACAAACAAACAAAAAAAAAAAACACAAGTGGTGATAGTGGGCATCCTTGCTTCATCCTTATTCATTGAGGATGACGTTGGCTATTGGTTTTGTATATGCTTTTAATTATGCTGAGAAAATTCTCCTCTACTCCTATTTTGATGATTTTTAATTTAAGATGAAGCAACTACGCATAGTTAAAGCTAATAAATATTGGAAATTTTAAAACCTTAAATCACTTGTGCAATCAAACAGGTGAACTGGGTTTGTTATGGGGTTTTTTTTTTGCTTAAAATTTATTGATATTCATGGAAATAAAATTAAAGAAGCTATTACTTTTGTCTGTTAATTTTGTGTTATTTTATTTCACTGTGCTTTGAATGACCATTCTGACAAGGATTTAAAGATTTTTAAATCCCTATGTTATCTCCAGAGCTTCTGTCAAAAACAATGAAAGTAATTACACCATCCAGACTAAGTATATATATTTAAATGTTCATAAAAGGAAGATCTATTTCTTGACTATCATTCCAACATAGCTGTTTTATAATATACCAAGAAGAAATTAACTATATCATAATAAAATACACATTTATTACTCATGTTAGAACTTTTCATAAATACAAAATTCTCCTATGTAAAGTAGGATGCTACTTACAAATTTACTTCTTTGAGGTAAACGTGGGCCATCACCTCCTTCAGAATCTTCTGTAGCCTTCTTTTCTTTTTTTGACAATTGTGAACGTTGTTGTTCCATTCTTTCTTTCTCTAGCTTCTTTTGTTTTTCACGCTCCATTTTTTCAAGGCCTTCACGAATCCAAGCTGGAAGAGTCCTACGTTTTACTGCATCTGTTTCATATGAAAAAATATTTTTATACATCAGTTATGTAAAAATCTTAATAAACATCAGTTCCTTGTTCCTGAACTTCTAAAATTTCAATAAATAAATAAGGGAATTTTGGTACCATTTGAACCCTTGTAACCAACACTGTCATTCTCCAGTAGATGAAAGTAATAAAAATCATCCATTATTAAAGCATTACATTTTCCTTTAAAACCATCAATGTTAAATAACCCAGAACACTGCCATTAGGTAGGTTCAGACTCACAACTGCCCTCCAGAGAAGAGGAGCTGGTGGATTTGAACTGTAGACATTTGGGTTAGCAGTTCAAAACCAAACACACTACACTACCTGGATAACAACCAGTGCACTACACATCCTCATTTCATTTACTCATCACAAAAGCCCTGAGAGAAAGTAACTATTATTGTAAGTGAAGAAACTGAGGCTTAAAGAAATAAAATGTTTTGCTCAAGTTACATTGCCAGGAGTAATGTAGACTAATTCATAGCTGAATTTGTATTCTATACTTCCTAAAATATGGAAACAGAATAAAGTCAAAACAAAAGACTGAGTCCATTTTCCATACTGAATAGAAAATGTATTTGAGCAAGTATTTTTCAGAATGCATATAAAAAGACACTGTTTATATCCTGGCACAAAAGAACATACTGTCAAAATTAAAGGAAATATCAAGATGCTTTAATTATCAAATTTCTATTTCCTAATAATGTTTGGAGCTTAAGATTTGTTTTAAAGAAAATTATTCAAAACTTTTTTACTTTAGTACTGCACTTTTATTTAAGGTTTTTTAACTAAAGCACAGTATCTTAAAGTATCAAATCTTAAAATATTGGAGGCATCAGAACAATTAAGAAAACAGAAGAAATTTTTTTTTTTACATGATCAAGAAATCATGCAACTGTGGTTCACTAAATTTAAATAGCTACCAATTTGTGGAGGCTCCTGTTTCACAGGAAGTGCAATAGGTGAACGCTGTC